CCAAAACCCCCAAAAATCATCCCAAAAACCACCCCAAAATACCACAAAAATATCCCTCTATACCCGACCCCGACGGGGCGCCGCTGCTGTGCTGTGCTTTCCAGCCGCTCAATAACAACCTCACTGTGGTGAGAAATCCCAAAATCCATCCCAAAATACCCCAAAAATTCCCAAAACCATCCCCCAAACCTGACCCTGATGGGGCGCCGCTGCTGTGCTGTGCATTCCAGCCGCTCAATAATAACCTCACCATGGTGAGAGATCCCAAAATACCCCAAAAAATACCCCAAAACCATCCCCCGATGCCCTCCAGGTGGGCAGTGCCCGGCACAGGGTCCGGGTGATGAACACTACGGGGCTTTAGGGATTTTTGGGTTATTTTGGGATGAATTTTGGTGTGTTTGGGTTATTCTGGGTGGGATTTTGGGGTCTCAGGATGGATTTGGGGTGGATTTTGGGGCTCTCAGGGATATTTTGGGGTCTCAGGGTGATCCCCATGTCCCCCCAGGTGGGCAGTGCCTGGCACATGGTCAGGGTGCTGAACACAGTGGGAGTTTTGGGGATTTTTGGTTTATTTTGGGTGCATTTGGGGTGGATTTGGGTTACTTTTGTTGGGATATTGGGGATCTCAGGGTGGATTTCTATGGGTTTGGGTTATTTTGGGGTGGGTTTTGGGGGTTTTAAGATGGATTTGGGGTGGATTTTTGGGTCTCAAGTTGGATTTGGGGGATTTTTCGGTTATTTTGGGGTGGATTTTGGGGGTCTCAGGGATATTTTGGGGTCTCAGGATGATCCTGATTCCCCCCAGGTGGGCAGTGCCCGGCACATGGTGCGAGTGGTGAACATCTCCACGGGGAAGGCGGCTCGAGGGGGCACCGGGCAGGGTTTGGGTTATTTTGGGGTGGATTTTGGGGCTCTCAGGATGGATTTGGGGTGGATTTTGGGGTCTCAGGATGATCCCCATCCCCCCAGGTGGGCAGTGCCCGGCACATGGTACGAGTGGTCAATATTTCCACCGGGAAGGCGGCTCGAGGGGGCACCGGGCGCCTCCCCGGGAGGGTCCTCGCCCTTTGCTTCGACGCCCCCGGACGCGTCCTGTGGGCAGGGGACGATCGGGGCTCGGTGTCATCGTTCCTGTGTGACCCGGGAACAGGTACTGGGATGGACTGGGATCAAACTGGGATGGACTGGGATGGACTGGGAGGGACTGGGATGGGACTGGGAGAGACTGGGAGGGACTGGGAGGGACTGGGATGGGACTGGGATGGACTGGGAGGGGATTGGGGACGATCGGGGCTCGGTGTCATCGTTCCTGTGCGACCCGGGGACAGGTACTGGGATGGACTGGGAGGGACT